CGCAACATTATGTTAAAAGTCTACGAAGCCAGTGGGTAAAGATTACACGTTATGATGTAGAAAGATATTATTTAACGAGGTGTTGTGTCTAAACCGCCCTCTGTACTAAAACTTGAGCTCAAAACCAACCACGTTAACTTATTCTGGTTATCAACTTTAAGTGAGTGTTAAATTCACAGATAGGCTACGCTTCTCATCTGGATTTGATTATGTTAAGGGAAAAGGCGTTATCGGTTCTCTGAAAAATGGAGTGTTCCGCTCTTCCAAGCGGTTGGAAACGAGAAGAGGTCATTCGAAAAACGGGTATTTCAGCTGGCAAAATAGACGTTTATTATTACAGGTATATGTTATATGTACTATTGTGACAGTAATACTAATACGATACTATAATTTAAGGATTAAGACTTAAGTTATGTTAACACACTCAGTTTTGTTTATCCTAACGGTAACATTCTAAGTAACACTATATTTGTTATAAATATAAGTATAACAATTAACATTAACAAGCATAAGATAGTTTAATCACGTAATTTGTAGTTTAATACTTCAGTGTTGGTAACATTATAAATTGCGTAATAAAAATATCACGCCTTTCTATTAAGACGTTGAGGTTAGAAAGAAAGAATAATGTATTTGTAATTTATAAATTGTAGTTATACATAATGCGAAATAAATGACAAGCTGGCTGAGGTAAAGTTAAAGAATCAGTGACTGAGTGAGGTATTTGTTCGATATGTATCTATTAAACTTTGGATATGTACCAAAGTTTGTGTATTGAAAGGTTATATAAGACTAATAGTAATAGACCTATAATTATTGGGACAAATTTTATCACCTCCCTTGAAAATAATAGCAAGTGGTCACATATCTGATCATTAACCTCAAGATCAGACGCTTTATTATTCTTTAAACATCCCAATTTTTTTTTAAGCTCAGAATTAATGTGAATATGTTCAGTCTTGTTTTTATCTGGCAACTGTTCAGAGTGAGGAATACAGCTTAGAATTAATGTAAATATGTTCAGTCTTGTTTTTATCCAGCAACTGTTCAGAGTGAGGAATATTGATTAAATCTTCCATAGTAAAATCTGAAGAAAAAAGTAAATTTAATAACTTAGCCATCTCATAATAATCAGGTATTAGCTATCCTGTTTTAAGCCCTTGAAGGCCCAATTTCTATTCTAACATTTAGCTAACCCTTGATGTATTTGAAGAATTCCTGTACTATTTATCTTCATATTTTCAGGCAATCTTTCTTCATATACTTTTTTACATTTTCCTATTTGACTAACTCTGGTTATTTTATAATCCTCTAAATCTCTCATCATTGCATTCATTTAAAGCTTCTTATATTTATAATGCTTTTCTTTACTTTTATCCTGTATATTGTTTATGAGCCAGCCAGGTTTTTACTTGCAGCCATCATATTTTTTTTTTCAAAGAACATGCCTAACTTGAAGAATTTAGTTTTAAAATTTTTATAAATTTTTGAAGGTCTTTTTCTGGATAGTACTGGCACACCAGATATCCCCAATCTGAACAAGTTTTTATAATTCTGAGTATATTAATATTTTGCACAGGAAAGAGCTTTTACATACCCTTCCCAAAAGGAATCAGTTTTTGGTGACATAAAACACCAAACGATGTGAAAATATAGTTATGATACATGTCTTTCAAGTACATCTTTGTGTGATTTCTTTATTCAAAATAATTTTGATCTAACATACTCAACCATTTGTAGTCTGTAGAGCAGTCGCAAACATTTCACTCTTATAACCCTATTGGCTAATAACAAAGAAAAAAGATAAGTATAATACAAAAGCACTAGGAAACATACATACAGTAACTTTGATCTCGCAGGAAATTACTTTTAACTGGACAGTTGTGAAGAGCTTATTTTCTCTAGCCTGTTGGTTAAGAACTTAGTCTTTTTATATATATATGTATAAAACATGCTAGTTACCTCAAGGTGACTTATTATCAACATCACATATTAACTTAGCCCCTCATAACAAACTAGTAAACAGCAGAGGCAATGACCCTGTTAGTATTGTGTTGTGTGTTTCTACAATGTATTTAATACTAACAGTTCAATGGCTAAGGCTTTTCAAAAAAACATCAAATAGATTCATCCACTACTAGCACTTCCCAAGTCAGTGGATACACATGTGAGTTTGTGAGATCTTCAAAGTGAAAAACAATTTCTTTTTCACTGATTTTTTTAATTCAAAATTGAACCATTATATCACACAAATGCTGAAATTTAGTGGAAAAGCATCATTCAGTATGATTGCATCTCTTTCTTCTCTCATCTGTCACTGTTTACACACACAGCATATATATTATCTTATACAAAGGATAATGCATTTGAGGATTCTCTTGCACATAGAAATTAGCTGCACATATAAATTTATTTTTGTTGGTAAACCAACACTCAACAAAAATTCATACTGAATTGCAAGTTCAAATGACTTGTTAATTAAATTGATTGTGAATGATGAATAAATAGTACAGTTATGCTGGTTTTTTACATTTTAATTGGTTCCAATTAAGCTTAGATTAAAAATAAAACCTGTATCTAAAATGATATAAGATTAAAAACCTGATGATGACAACAGAATAGTTGCTGAAACATCATTTTAATTACTTATTAGTTCATGTGGCTCAAATGAGAACACCTGGTAATGAACCTTAGACCTCAAGATATACAAGTAATATTTGGATCATATCAGGCCCAAGTATGTTAATCCTAAAAAAACTAACACTTATAAATAGAAACTTAAAATAGCAGAAAAAAAAAAGCAAAAAGTAAAACAAGGTTCCAATACAGTACATTATCTCCTCACATAAATATCTATTCTTGTTCAGTGCTGCCCTCTATATGCAAAAAAAATTGATGCATGCCACAAGCCTTTTATCTCCCCTCCATGGGAATTGACTGATTCCAATGTGTCTGTCTTGCAAATGAACATGTTTCAACCCACCACCAATAAGAGTGCAACGTACTCTCATGATGCATGTGATTCCCTCTATTCGATTCTACAGAACTGTCACTTCTCGTTTGGCATTACTCTTGTTCAGATGTTATTTGTTTTGGTGCTCTTCATGTGAATTGCTTTCAGGATTTTAATAGCTTAATTTCCAAAGTGGGATTTCTTCATTACCTTTTTTGCTTTACATTAAAGAACTCTTTAACTTAATTTCCCAGTCTTTATTTTTTCCTCTCACACTCATATTTTACATCCAACACTTTTGTTTGATTTATGTATTTCTACAATGAATTCTGAGGTTCATGTTCCCACTTTGGGTATTATACCTCTAGCACTATTTCAGAGGTTGCAGGTGGGGAGACCTATCACTGTATTTCTCTGCAATTATCTGATATGAGATTGATCATTCTATGGGTTAACCCCCACATCCTGAACTTGCCCCACTAATCCTCCTGAACAAGCCAAATCTGTTCATGCTGCTGAAGATTTGATAGCCTTTTTACACCACCAGATTTTGCCGTGTCATTCACTACCCCTCCTGCAGAATCAGGTATGCCTAATATGGCATTTTTTTTGGCATGATTTCTCAGATGTATGATGTTTTATTCATTTCCCTACTTTTCTATGATTCCTTATAACCTCCATGTTGGCTCATTTCTCATCTTCGGCTCTCGCTTTACACACGCGGTTTCACTGTTGTTGGGATCTTCTGGGTCACAATGTGACCTTGTCCTGGGTTCATTTGCCACCTCTTTATTTTAGGGATTTATGTATGGCCTTTTTCTTTGGCGGTATGTTTTCGAAAATATATATGAGACTTTGGAATCACATGTGTAATCTGTATGTTAACACTTTATCATTTCCTTTTTGGTTGCACATTTGTCGCAGTTGGAGCCATGACAAGTCCCTATTCATTTTTCCTGTTTTGATCCTTATCTACCATTCCCTGTTCCTCCTTCCAGGGGTTTCTCATCTTGTCGTTTTATTCATTGCAGATGGGCATGTCGCCAACAGTACCAGAGACTAACCAATGGGTTCCAGCCTGGTGGGAGTTTGACTTGATGATTTTGTTACCCTTTGGGGATCTTTCAATATAGATCCATGGGTTCTTTGAATTTTATCACAGGGACTTGTTCTACTATTTCTTTTCCCACCTCATTTGTTTCAGGTACCCTTTTCCTTCCATACGATATGGCAACCTGCCTCCAGCCAGTGTCTGTCTGAGGTGGTACAAGATCTTGTATATCAACACGCCATTGCACCTGTTCATCATCTTTCTCCAGGCTGTTTGTTGTCCTTACAAAAAATTGGAGACTGGCGGACTGTAATAGGTTTGTCCCACCTCAATCTAATTTTCAGTCTGCTCCATTTTACCATGGTTTTGTTTCTCACCCTTAGGTGGGCTTTTTCTCCAGGTGTATAGATGACCAAGAGAAAAGTTGTGAATGCTTATTTGCATATCCTGATAACTCGTCACTCGCGACCCTCTCTTCAGTTTGTTCTACATGGGGTGGTTTATCTGTTTCATACATTTCCCTTTGGACTTGCTTCAGCCCTGTATATTTTGTCAGGTGTTCAGAGCATTCGTCTGTTAATTACATGCTCTCAGGTTGCACTTTCCTCTTTCTTTGGATGACTGTTTACTGTTAGCTCATTCTGAACAGTAGTCCTCCTGTTACCATTATCAGCTGCTCCTGGAAGCAGCTATAGTGGGCTGGTTAATCAAGTTGGAGAAGTCTTTACTGCAACCTATCCAATGTCTTGTCTATTTGGATGTTTTTCGTTTTCAACACCCATCTCAGTTGGGCCCACCCTTCTCCTCTTCGACATTGTTTGATGGGATTTTTAGTTCTATTGCAGCTCATGATGTTCTGTTATCTTGGGAATGTGAACTTCCATGGCGGCCCTTATACCCTTAGGGCAGGCTCTTTTGTGGGATCCCCCTGTTCTCCTTCATATTCAGGTGATTTTGATCTTCCTTGATACTTCATGTTCAATCCTTCTGATAGCTCCTTCCTGGCCATTTCAGCTGTAGTTTCCGTGGCTTCTCCAGCTCCAACTTCCTACTCTGTTACCTTTTCCTCTGACTCTATCCCTTTTTTAATCACCCTCAGTTACTGGTGTTTCATCCAGACCTTCTTGTCCTCCATCTTCATGCCTGGCTTTCTTCCGGTAATGGCGAAGAGATCTGTCTTCTACTAATGGTTAGCTTCTTTTCTGGCTTGTTCCAAACCACTGAGGTTTCTCAGTGCAAATGGAACATTTTTCGTTGTTGGTTTCTGGGTCCAAGGTTTTCCCCTGATCAATCCACTGTTCCTCATCATGCAGATTTCCTCACTTGACTTTTGGATCGGGGGTCTTCCGCCTCCTCTATCTTGGATTTTTGGGTAGCCTTGTCTTACACCTTTCAGTTTTCCTGATACCATAGGTATTTACCTGCACTTTACCTATTGAAGTGTTCCTCTCAAATTCATCGTCTGCCACAATAGATTGCCCTTCTGGATTAGGATATTAATGTGGTCCTGCACTATCTCACTTTGCCTACATTTGAACCAGTCTCTCAGTCATCCTTGTTTCACCATTCCCTTATGTCTTACTTCATTCTCCTGTTTGCCTGTGGATGTCAGTGGTCTGTTTATTTGACATCAGTGCTTCATATAATCTTTATCCTTCTGCATATCTTTTCCTATCTCCAGATCCTTTTCCCGCCTTAACTCTTTGGTGGTTCATGAGGATAACTCCTCTGTTTAGCCGCTTTCCCTTTCTTCCTTTCCCACCTTTATCCTTGGCCTGATTTGGATAGATTTCTCTGTCCTGTATGTGTTCTTCTCTGTTTGCCTGCACAGCTTCCTTCTGTGGTATCCATTCTTGCCTCTTTCTTCCTTGGCAGTCATCCACTGTTTGTGATCTTTCTCCTTCCACCTTTGCCATTTTGGTTTGGTTTTTAATTCAATTGGATTATTCCTCTTTATCATCTTCCTCCTGTACTTTGTCCCAGGTGTTTTCTCATCCATTTCGACACCTTATTTTTTTCATTGGGGTTTCATCTTAAGCATCCTTTGAAGGTACTTCTTCAATTGGGTATGAGGACTACCCATAATATGTTCTTTTACTCACTATTTGCATCTGATTGTGGTTTCTTTCTCTTCAAGCTATAGTCTTTTGCCTGTAGCCATTCTTCAGAAGTCAATAAGACTTTGACTGGCTAAGTTTTTGTTTTTCTTATTCTTTCCTTTTCACGGGCTCTTTTCCCATTTATTATTGCTCAGTGTTTGGATCTCTCACTGTGGAGAATAGTACCTGACCAGGTATTCTTTAACAGATCAAATCCACACTGTACGGCCATGTCGACTTACGTATCATATTTCCATAACCATGCAATGCACACTGCATAGATGGGGTGTTCCACAGATCACTTGTAGGTTTATTCTCACAATAGAATTTTTAACAAAAAATTTGCCCATCTTGTACCATACTGACCCATGGACTACATGGGTAAGGCAGAAGTGGATAGCTGCCCATTCCTGCTTTACCTTATATTGAATAAATCAGTATGGTCTGCTTTTAAAAATAGGGTTTTGTGGTCACCCATTGCACTGTTGTTCCTCTCGACTCCTGTTTTTCCCACCCTTTTCTTCTAGTGGAGCTTGAGAGTCCTTACCACTTTCCAGTTTCAAGCCACTGGAATAGTGGACAATGGGGGTATCCTCCTGAATAGGTTAAGGAATATAAAATGCATAAAAAATATAGAAATGATTATACAACCATTCAGTTGATATTAGGGCAGTGGTGTTCTGATGGTGTAGATGATGTGATATCCTCCATTATGAAACAAATATAAATGGGACTGAGCCATTAAAATTGCAGTTCACCCCTTTGATTGGGATCCCTCGTCCTTACCCCACATGGATGTCGGTTCCCAGTGGCTGGGGTTTAGATTTAGTGTTGAACCAATCAACATAAGTCCTCAGTCATGTATTACAGATGTCTATATTCTTCCTTCAATTGTACTCTTGTTACTTCATCCATGTTGTGGGTCACCATGGAGGTACTTGCACATTATTACGGCTCTTCTCCTTCTGCTATCCCTCAATGCTTATTATTCTGAGGATGTTACTGTGCTTGGGGCAGTTCTAGTTAATTTTACTTTTGAGGGAGATGGTTTACATTAGGCAAACATCTTTTCGATACTGGATATCGGGTTCACGGATTGATCTATCAATTTCTTATATTGACTTGTGTCCCATTCATGGGTCTAGGGGGTTCTGGATTCCCTCAGGCCTCATAAACTTGAGGTGAAGTTGGTATGATCCTCTTTCCTACCCCCACCAGATGGCTGGGTTTTGGATTGTAGTCAACTTGCTGGTGGTATGATCCTCTTTCCTACCTCCACATGGATGTTGGTATCCAGTGGCTGGGTTTTGGATTGTATTTGACTTATTGATGGTATGATCCTCATCCTGCCCCTGTGTGGATGTCAGTTTCCATCGGCATGGGTTTTGGATATCGTTGATTTGCCATGTATGGTCTGTCACACCCTAGCCACTCTAAACTTAGGACACATTCTTTTCATTTTACCCACTTTTATAATTTCTGAGATAGAGATATTATATGGTTTGAATCACTATCCAACATTAGTTATCTCCCACTTGGATGTGATCCTCCATTTTCTGCCCATATGTGCTATGTCTTTCTACAATGGGCGAAGAGTATACCTGGTTCAGAAGCGGTGCGGTCCCTACATCAGATCTTAGAATCTGACGTGTCTCCTTTTAGGGAGTGTCCTTCGGATGCTTTCGATTGATACTTTTTTCTTTCCCTCACACTGATCCCTCAACCTATTCAGTGTGCGATTCTAGCTATTTATGTGAGGTAAAGTACCATATCAGAAGTTATAAGTTCCCTATAGTGAAAATGTATTTCTGATAGGTACTTGCCTCTTCTCACACTTCCCACTATTCCACCCCACTGAAAACCAGTGCTTCCATCGATGGAGTCACATGCACCAAGAGAGAGAGTATGTCATACTTTTATTGGTGGAGGGTGGCGCATGATGATTTGCATGAGAGATGCATTGGAATGAGTCAATTCTAATTGAGGGGGGATAAAAGGCTTGTGGCACGTGCAAAAAAAATTGTTTGTATATATAGAGGACAGCACTGAATGAGAATAGCTATTCATGTAAGTGGAGGTAAGTACCTTTTGGAAATACATTTTCAGTGTAGGAAAACTATAACTTTGGTATTTAGTTGCTGCTAATTGGGTCTCATTTTTCACAATTTTACCAAATCAATGTTAAAAATAACTTCTTTTTTTTTTTTTCACAGACATACAAACTTGGCAAAAAAATACTTTATTTATACTGAAAAATTTTAAACACACATCATACTCACTATCTTAACTAGGGGAGTCATAAACTTATGTACTGTAACTGTACATGAATTAAAATTACTTTTTACAAATTTTCCACAAAATGATAGCTGTAGGATCCTACAACTTAATACACGACACGTGAATAAATACTCATACATCAAATTGTAATAGTGGGAATACATGAAAACCAGCTGTTACATATTCATGTCATGGAAACATAAGAGAGTTTATTGTTATAAACCAATTTATGATATTACAGTTTTTCTAATGAGACTTAAAACAGAAATTTCTTTTGTAGGAATGTTAAGCCACTGAAGTACAATGTGAACATGAAATATCAGGTTTAATTCTAGTACATGTAGCATCAGGAATTCTGAAAATAGCTGTTGAATATTTATCAGCATTTATAAGTCATAGTTGTAAGTATATATTGAATATGATATAGAAATCTCTGTGTAGTGGTATTTACAAAAACTTCTACTTTGTTGTTATTTCTATTAAAGAAAAATTTAGTCATTTGATGTTTTCTTTCACATACTAATATCTGTAGAAAATGACATATGTTGGGGCTGCTTACTTGGTACCTTCTTTAAAAACATTTATAAAGATTATTTATTCATTAACTGTATTAATGAATATGTTAGTGTGAAATACTAGAATTTAGGCAAATTGTATTAATCTTTTGTTTTCTTGATTTTAAAGATTTTGAATATTTAGTCCCACAGGAAAAAAGTTTCATAGTAAACCTCAACTTGCCAGGTACTTGGGAGATGTTGTTGATCTCAGTACTTTTGATTTCCGTACTGGTAAAATAAATTCTATGCTGTTGAGAAAAAGTAAAAGACAGCGTGGAATGCAGTTTGATTATAGTAGAGGAATTCGGAATGATGCTTCACTTGTGCCCCCAATTCGACAGACTGCATCGATTTTCAAACAGCCAGTAACTGTCTTGAAGTCGCAAGATAGCAAAGTGCGCAATGATTTCAAGCATGGTCCTCAGGAAAAGCCAAGACAAGTAGGTGTTTGTCTATAATATTTGTCAAGCTACACAGTGTTTCTGATAATCATTATTTAGAACATTGTGTAACACTGACACAAGTTCTTCTGAGAAAATAATTATTACATATTCTCCTTCACATACACTTTCTTAAAGGATTTGGATATAAATTTTTAAATCATCCCATATGGATTCAGCTTAAAAACGAGTATACTTCATTCGAGGTTTAATGTAGAAATAATATGTTGTAATGACACTGTAGTAGAAAGCCTTTTGCTAAACTGTACTGTACACTTTATCATGTGAATGTGCTTAAGCCTGTTAATAACTCAGAGCTTAAGTCAAAATAATTTTATTGATTACATTTAGTACAAAGATGGATCAAATTAAAAGGTGACATAAGATCATATATAATCTACCAAGGTCTTCAATAATAATTTTGAATAACTTGGTTATTGTGTATTTAAACATTTTTCTAAGTTATCATTGAATAAATCACTTATTAGTCCTTTATCTTAAATATGTTTACATGCAAGTTTTCAGAGTTTATGCTTTATCATCTTTGATGTCAAATCATCACTTCTCTTTTTATAGTTATGGAACTCGGAAATTTCTCATCTCTAGGCACTAAACATGCTTGTACAATTTTTCTGTTCCAGATTTTCACTTGAAAAAGAAAGCTGCATTACATTTCTTTTGAATAGCAGTTTTAATTTGTAAAAATGTTTGGTTTTGTTTGAAAATTTAGAAATGTTTAGTATTATTTGATAAAAATACAAAATCCTATAACTTGGGTGAACCTTTTGAAAGCCCTTGGGTTTTGTCATCAGTAGGTAAATGAAAAAAATCTGTGTTTATTTATTTCCATTGAGTCTCTTACATTCAGTTCAGTGTAGTTACTCACAGAATAATTTAATTCAGTTTTATCTCGAAGGATGGCATGTTCTGATACACATGATAAAGTGCTCTTTTTATCAGCAAATTTGTGTGCATTCAAATGACATTTTAGTTTACAATCTGTCTGACCAATATTGAATTTATTGCATTCATACTTTATTTTATTATACAATTATTATACACTCTTCTAATTCATGTAAATCCCTAAGGGACTAGATAAATAATGCAGTGTTGAAAAATATAATGGAGCTAATATTAACCCGTTACCTGCCGTGGCCATTTTGATCTTATTGTGAGGGCAAAATCACATTTATGAATTGAAAAAATTATAGAAAACTTATCTTTTATTGGATTTCAGATTTTAGTTTTGTAAATAGTAGCATAACATTCAATTATTTGTAGAAAATTGTATTGTTTAATGAAGTATAAAGAGGAATTTAATGAAAAAATCCTGAAATATGTTTTAGAGTGTAAATAAGCACCATCGAAGAAGAAATTATTTTTTTTTTTAATTTAAAATTTTTTCCTTTCACTTTTTCTAGTCTGTTTTCTTTATGAAACAGCATATGGGTATGTTATTCCAATCCCTGTATTGCATGTTTGACAAATCATAGGATGATAAGGAAAGCACATGACAAAACGTTGTTCTCTGGATTTTACAATATGAATGTGGGTGGTGCTTATTATAGTAACTGCCATTTTATGTAGAGGTTGTATTTAGTATTGGCCAATAGTGCTTTTCTATAAGCATTAGAAAACTTGCTTCTGGAAAACACTGCATGGGATGTATGTGACTTTTATTATTTTTATATAGTAGCTTAAGTCATGCTGCATTGTATATCTATTTAAATTAATCATTATATTGAAAAATTAACTCAAAATAGATATATTTTTTAGGAAAGAAGTTGATCCATGATTATTAGGGTTAAGAGCTATCGAGTGGTGAGTGAAAGGTCTTTACATGAATTAGGTTTAGCACTTTGAACTGAAAGAGTTTGTGATTTTTTTATATTCTTTTGCATTTAAATTTGTAGTTTTAAGTTCAATAACTTAGCATAATTTTATATTTAGCTCATAATAATAATAATATGATTCAGTATTTAGAATGATAAACTTGTGTGATTTGTACGTAATACTACTAGTACCAGTACCACATGATAATTTTATATTTTTCCTTCTTACAATCTTTACTTTGTAGTAAGATCCACACTTCTATTGTTTTGTGTTAGAATTAAAACAGTAACTGATATATATAAAGTTTATTCTGATATTTTTTAAATGGTTTAAAACTCAGTGTACAAGTGACAGCAATAAAACTCATATGTTGGCTGTGAAACAGACTAATAAATACAGGGAAGCTATGACATTCTCACAGTTGGGGTCTCAATACACTGAAGACCTTAAGTTTTGAATTCCAACAAAAATCTTGCCTATAATAAGAGGAATGTGACCAGGATTAATCTTTTAAGTGCTGTAAAGTAATTTTCTTTGTAATTTATGGTGTCTGTATTGTTTGGTAATCTCTTCTAACAGGATGTATCAAGTAACTGGTGTCAGCTGGTGTTATTGAAACCACCTGTACTGTAAACTGTTTCATACATTCACTAGTAGTGGCAATTAGTTTTGTCTCTATAGTGAAACAAAATACATGGACATATGTTGAAATAAACTAGTTTAAAAGTTCAAAGAAATGATATTCAAGTACCAGAAAGCTTTCTTACTATCATATCTACAGTAATGTTCAAAGGTGCCCGTGCTGGGCTGAACAAGAGTGACCCCCAACAGGGGTGAGATAGTTTATGGAAAATATACAAAGTTCACCCTGCTAACCCCATGGTTTATTCAGCACAATAAACAAAAGTACAGCTGCAATGAAACATAAACTTGAAATAAAAATACATTTATGAAACAAAATTAAAATGTTTTTATGTACATATATAAACATGAAATCCTAGTTTAGAATAAAAATACTCATTTATTGTTTAGGTTTATTTACAAATATTATTTTCGGGTCTTGTGTATTACTTGGAACAATAAGAAGAGTACGTGATTATTAAAAAAAAATTAAAAATATGGACGATACAAATTTTTCGTGATTTTAAAATAATGTACTAAAACATAAAAAGTAACAAGTTCAAATCTGTAATCATTTCTTATAAATACCATTTCCTAATGTAATTTTCCAAGATATTAAAGATCATAATGCAAAAAACAAAATTTATCAAAAGTACAAGGCTTTATGTTTCTTAAACTATGTGCATTTATGAAAGTTCTTATAAAGTTTCAAACAATTTCATCCACTAGTTTTATTGTTGGAATGGAATATAGCAAAACTTGCATTGGCTACTAAGAAAGTTAGTAGCCGGTGGTCATCGGGTTAATATTTTATGACATGTATAATTAATTATAATAATGCTTTGTCAGCTTGAAAAAAGCATTCACTCCATAACAGTTGTTGTACTAAATAGCTTATACAAGTAGTGTTCCAACCACTGCTGTATTTGTTGTATTCTAGCTGGCCTCATAAGCTCTGCACTGAGGAAAATGCATCATTGACAGTGGATATGGCAAACATAATCTAGGGGAAATACTATTATTTTACACTCTTCTAATTCTTGAAAATCCATAAGGGACTAAGTATAGAATGCAGTGTTAAAATATTTATTAGGTCTAATGCTAATGTCTTAGGATAAGTATAATTATAAACATGCTTTGTCAGCTTGGAAATGGCATTCACACCATAACAATTGTTGTTGTAATAAATGGCGTATATAATTTGTGTTACAACCAATATTGTGTGTGTGTTATGTTTCAGCCATCTTGCTGAATTCTGGATGGAGTGAAATGTGTTGTGAGCAATGGATGTGACAGATATAGTGTGATTCAAAAAACTACTATCACACACTTCTAATTCTTGAAATTCCCTAATGGATTAGATAAAAAATGCATTGTTAAAAAATATAATAGGCCTAATGCTAGTATCTTATGACAGTTATAATCAATTTGATGAATATTTTACAGAGTTTATCATATAAATATTGCCAGGGACTACCATAAAGAAATAAAGGTAAAAATGGGTTGTTAAAAATGGTTTTCATTTTTCATTACTCAGTAACATTAAAAAAATTTAAATGGTTTTACTTCCCTTGTAGGTGC